AGTTCGATAGCGCCGGTTTTTTCGATCATTTGTAGCCATCTTCAAATTGTTCGAAATGATACTGCACCGTTCAAATCCCGGAAGATCTTTGTTGCACCGTCACCATTCTCACGTTTAATTTTTACGACATTTCGGAGATCTTTACTTTTCATTTTGTAAAAAAGTTATCTGGAATTCTTCAAAAGCCTATAACACATTTTTTTGTAGAGAAATAAACGGCGATTCTTTTGGTAGAAAAATGAGTTCTGTAGGTTGAAAGGGAGAGGAGAAAAATTGAAAATAAAAAAGTGGACATTCTTTATGTTACACCCGTTAATGGACTAAACTATTTACCCTTTTCGATCTCAGCCACCATAGAGGGTGATGGTTTGAAAATTTGTGAGCGCATACTCCATCGAGAATGTAAGCCAACGACAGCAATTGCGAGTTCACTGCATGATATCTTAAGAAACTTAGAAAAAAATATGACTTTCATTGCAGTCCTGTTACAGTAGAAAAATCAATGTTGCTGTCTTTTCATAGTGGCACAACTAACCCGTAAAATTTTTGCATAAAAATTAAGCCTGGGTTATGTTCTTTTTCCAGCCAAAGATGAGCTCATTCAGTCTAATACTGAGATTGAGTTCACGGCACTAACATGATGATTATTAGTGTGCCATTTCTTTCTATTCTGAGTTCCGCTTCTGAAACTTTCTTTGAAGAGCACTATGCGACTTTTGTGAACATCGATGAATACAATAAAATGGTCATGGGTCTTGAACAAGTTTAGGAACTTTAATGGAATTTGTAGGGTAGGTATCTAGAACACAGCGCTATATAGTGACGAATCGGTCAGGTCACAAGAGTTTTCTTTTTCAGAGTTATGAAGCTTAAAGCGAAAATAGGTACATCATAACTTCTCTTCTACGCAAGCAATCCGTATGCGGGTAGTGCCTTTGATCTACATTTCTGGTGGAGTATATGCAGTCATATTCCCAGATTCCCAGCATCTGTGGTGGTAGAGATCTAAGGGATGGATATCTTTGCTTAGTACTATATATATATAAACATTTGTTAATACTTGAATTATTTCTATTGCTTTTGTTTAAAAAGGTCGCTAATCCCAAATTAAGCCATAATCAAATGATTCAATTAGCTTTACCCACTAAGAAAAATAAACATTTATCAATGGCTGAACAAATGAATAGAAACCAACATCAGCAATTATCATGCACAGTAGGCGACATGAAAAAGAACTTGCTAATATTATATAAATATATATTTATTCATCATAGATTGATAACAATGACAAGATTATCAATATAGCACGACGAAAATCAAGTCATATATATGAACTTCAATCAAATCAAATATTGTTATGTTTTACAAAAATAGAAAATGACTGCCACTACCTTATTTTCAGTTCAATTATAAAAGTGTGTCTAAAATACTATGTAGTATTATAGAAACTTACTTTTTTTGTCATTATTGTTAGATAACTAACAATCTAACATTACCATTAGATGTTCTTCACCCAGAAAATGGTAGTGTAGTTGCTACAATTACTCCTGATGATACATATTGTCTACCAATGTCACTTTTATATTACGATCACACATCAACGGAGATTTATTTCAGTATCAGTCAGTAAGTGTAAATTGTTTTTGCTCTAAAGTGTAATACTATAATACAAAGACGCATCAGCGCCATTAAGTTTGAAAAACCTATCTAGTGTTAGCCTTGCGATAATTTCAAAGTTTTACATATTAACTTTGTGGAAAATTTGTGCTCATTACGAGTTGCAAATGGTTATCGTGCTACTCTCTTAACGTACTTGATTTCGTGACTTACTCTCATCTAACTTACCCAATCCGCTCCATTAGGTAAGAGAAGACATTAATAGATACACGTTTCAGTAAAAATTTATTAAGAAAACAGACCCTCAAAAAAATATCGAGATTTCGTTTTCAAATAAATACTTCAATAATGAAGCTAAGGGTAGCAATCTTTAAATTTCTTGCCAAATGGGCAAAGGATCCATCCATTCAACTGACTACGAAAGTATCAGTAAGCAATATACCATCTATATTCTTATAATCCTATCAATCATCTTTTGAAGTCGTAACGATTTAAAGAACAACGCATTTTTAAACTCCTAGTCTAAAGATTGCACACTACATATTAACTATTTTGAATCAAAACATACAACAATCTGCCGTTCTCGTATTCAGCAGCAATATTATTGTTATGGTGTATTGAGATTATAACACGGTGTGAATTGAATAACATACAAAACTAATAAATAAGCTGTGTCAATCTCTTATGTAATTAACATTATTATCACTAGCATAAACGCGACTTCCAAACACAATAGGATAGCTATTTTTTAAATAATTTCTGATAAACAAACAATTAACACCAGCTGTTTTACAAAGCAGCTAAAACACAGTATATTTTGAACTTTTGAAGTGTCTGGAACCAGTTTTCAGCTTTTCACAGAAATCATCTAGAAGATTACTTCTAGTAAACTTTTGGATAAAGGCAAACATTGCCGTGAGACCCAGCGCCGTCAATAATCTATGCTTTTGTTCCCATAGTTTTCGCACTAATTCTAGAACTCCTAGCAAATTCGATGCTGGACCGAAACAGTTAAAAACGAGTCTCTCTTAATTCTTGTTTTCCAACGAACACTGGACTATCTGACTACTAAGAAACTTCGTATAGTAGCAGCTAAATTTTTTAGTCATCAACTAGTTTTTTGACAGTCTCGCATAAATGCTTCAGTGGAAAAATATTTTTTAACTTATATTTTATAAAAATGATGCGTCAGAGTTTGCGTTTTCAAATGGCTTACACCACAAATCTCCATCGTTCGTCTATCATAACGGTTCTATTTTATTTAAAAAGTGGCGATCCACATTTTATTTGGAAACAGATACTAATATCATATAACTAGTTAACAAATCATCAACAATGCATCCGAAATCGTCTCAAATAGTCCTCTCCACAAGAGGTTCGTTGAATTTTTTCAGTTTCTTTGTTTCTCTTTATCATTTGTTTATGAAAATCCGAAACCTCCGATATCAAGATGATCTGACGGAACTGTAATCACATCAATATGTTTTAATCTAACTTTAACAACTAAAATCCAACTAGCATTTGATAAAATAAGTTTTGATTTTACATCAGTTATTCAAAATGCCAGTATTTAAGACAAAGATATGCTGATCTACACGATTTGGAACAAAAAATAATATTGCTGAATTAGTCTACGTGTATTTTATGCAGGCGAATCGAACACGACAAGTATCGTTGTAGAATTAACAAAAATTTAGATCCACCAATATATGAAAACAATATTTTTGACATTCAGATCGTATAGGTTCATTTAAGTCTAACTTCAAAGTACCAATGACTGCCATGATTCCATTCTTGAGAGTTCATGAGGTGTGAAATGGGAATAAACAATCTTTCTAGGTACTGATACATTGATACTGTATACTCCAAAATCAGTGTGTGGGACAAAAATGAAAGAAGAACGACGTTTTTCCAACGTTTCACGATGCTCGACATCTTTCCTTTGTCTGTCGTTCTTCACAAATACTTCTATAGAATGGTCGAATGGAGATGAGCCAGTATTGTATTCTCGTGTTTCAACATGTTTGGATTGTGATGAATCGATAGAAGTTTGACATCAACATGAGACAATCAACAATAGAAAATCTTTTTATGAGAATGGTTTGAGAGATGGAAACTCGTAGCCTACTAGTCAGCGTGCAGCGTTCATCTGACAGTATTATTATAGAGTCTATAGAGGAATGTTTAGACGATGCAATCAACACGATGCATGGTTGAGAAACGATCGTTTTTTCAAGAAAGTGAAAAAGTAGCAAAGCTAAGTGGAAAATTCTAGAACGTTTTTTCCGTTAGACTCTTTGAAGACTGCTTTGTGAGCGGGCGCTCCTTTTATCAGTCATTTTTCATTGAGAATTGTCAAGAATCAGATAGAAAATTAGAAAGTTTTCTAGAATGTCTCTAGTAGTTAACTACTTAGAAACTAGATTATGACTTAGTGTATTATGAACTATAAATCGAACACTTTTTTTTGAAACCGGATCTGTCTTAGGCGCTTTGCTGTTACTTAAATGTTTCTTCACAGAATTTTCTTTGCTTTAGTAATGAAAATATATCAAAATTTTCATTGAATTGGAACGATAATCATCCTATTTTATATGATACTTTAAATGTGAACAGAGACTTAAATTATTATATTGTTGTACGTGTATCTCACTTCTTCAATATCGTGATGTGTAATTGTGCCTTGATTTTTTCAAGATTTGTAAAGAAACTATTAAGGCTTATTCAGAAAACACGAATAATATGAGCAGACATTGTGGATTCCACTTCTTTATCCAATCAGGATTAACAGTACAAAATTTATTACCATATGAATTACAACTTTATGATGATGATGTAATGTATACATTTCACAGCAGGAAACTAAACTAACCGCCTCTTATTATTAAATAGAATGAAACACCTTTATTATCACTTGGTCCTACTGAAAAACAAGCAATAATAAACCGAAATAAAGATGCTAGTTTTAAATTTAGATTATGTGTAAGCTCACATTATATGCACACTAAATTTAAAACTTTGAATGGTTGTTATTCATTGCTAGACTACGCTCGAAGTATATTATACATCTACGAAAAAACAATTAGGTGACGAAAAAACTGAACTTGAATTTTCGAATTCAACATCAACAAAGAAACTGGTAGGAATAGTCTGTAGTTTTTATGATTTGCTTTTTTTTATTTATTATTTGTATTTATTTAGTATGCATCCGTAATTTCCAGTATATTTCGAGGTGTTCATCATATTATTATTTATTCGTATTATTGGATTTTGAATAAAACTGGATTAAACTTATTACTGAAGGTATGCATTCTTTCTTGTGCTCTTCTAATCAAAATCTTCATTCCTCAAAACCAGTATGAATTGACGAAGTTTGCATTAGTGTTGTACAAAGTGTTTGGCAAGACATCGTTATTCGACTTTATCTGATAAGAATCTCTGTGAATAAATGTCCTGAGAACGCGTATTCACAATCCTCAAATTTTAAATTCATATCTGGATCTGATGAATGTTTAATATGCCATGTTTGATTGAAACATCCAGAATTTGTACTTTGTTCGCGGTACTTATCACTCTTGCAAACCTAAAGATGAGACCGCTATAACATCATTTTTGAAACATAAATAAATATTTACGGTTGCACAATTACCGAAATGAACCATTTGTCGCGACGAGTAAAAATGAAATTATTATGAAATGTGCAAATTTAAGTTAACATTCTCCAATAAATCAAATGAGTATGCACTTCATTTATAAATGTTGTTTTTGATAGAGATATGAAACTCAGAATCATTTGTGATCAAAAGACTTGTCAACACAGCACAGCCTTAAGAAACTCCAAGGTTTATTCGATTCGATTTCATTATATTTTTTCCTTGAAGCCAGATGAGTTAAGTTTTTATCCTGTCCATTAGAAAATTTGGTGCTCGCTCCACGCTGAACCAAACTAGATAAAAATTGGGCGCCAAGACAAAATTTCTACGTGAATCCGACAGTGGGTTCCTTATAATTCCATGTTCACTTCTTTTTTTGGCGTCGACATAATCGACGTGGTTTTTGCCTAAATTTTATTTTTCTCATTGGCTCGTCGATTATGTCGACGCCGAAAAGAAGGGAAAATGGAATCATAAGAAACCCGCTGTCGGATTTACCGAGAAATATTGCACCCGGCGCCCAATTTTTATCTAATTTGGTTCAGCGTGGAGCGAGCACCAAATTTTCTAATGCTATCATGATATCAACAAAAAAAGAAGAAAGACAATAAATTCGATCATATACTACTAAATTTTATATGAACAAATATTGTAGTGAATTATTCTTAGCTTTCGGAGTTTCACTGCTATGTATACTGCAAACTATTTCGTTGTCGAGATAATTATGGACTATTCACGTACCCCCTAGTCATTCCTTGAAGTAACATATTCTTGCAGTACTAATAGAAGTTTCGTTTGTGGTACAAAATGAAAATATTAAGATTGTAATGAGCATCGTTCATAGATTCTTCAGTTATTTTTCTAGGTATGTATTCATGCATAGCGTCAGTTCAGTGGAAATTGCTTTTCGAATATTTTCCCCATAGTGGTACGTTTTATGAGACAACTCAATCTCCATGATTTCTTGTAGATCAAGAACGAAGAGGTGGAGCTTAGTGAAAATGCAACATCGGTGTCCATAGCTACTAGGCAAGACAAAAGAGAGGCATGTGCATTTCTCTTCAGTTTCGTGAACTAATTAACTTTGACCCTTTATACTGCAGACATTAGTTTGTGTTGCAATAAATGCACAATCACCCAAATCTGACATTAAAATTCTCAGTCGAGCACAAACTATACAGTGTAAAGCAGCAAACAATCAGATATATAATGTAAGCACGATTATGTGTTATACAGATTACACAAAGTCATGGTATTTGTTTTGTATTTTGTAGCTACTTATTACTATAAAGCAAAGTTCATTTTCAAAGACAGAAGTTATTACAATATCATCAGCAACCGTTATCTTCAATAATTCTAGTTTTAAGGTAAAATGATCTTCTTATTTTAATGTATTGGGGAATTATCTGTTTAGGAGCGTAACACAATGCTTGCACATTTTGAAATCTTTAAGCTTAGATGAACACATAGAACTGTCACAGAACGAAATAGCGTCAGAGTCATTATCAATAATAGTAGCATACAGAAGATAGTGAAACTATATACAAATTTTGCGCGCTCTTCAACAAGCACGAATCATCTACTGTGTGTCAAAAACCTGGCAACATAGACCTGAAATTTTCATCAGGCGCTTCCGAAACCAAGTTATAGATCCAGAGTTTTCCACGAACACATCTATTTTTTTATGATAATATGTCCTCTAAAAATAAAACTCATGCGAACTCTTGATTCAGTGGTCCGACCATGTGAACGAGTTAGCTGAAAAAGTTCAAAAACCTATGTTTTAGGTAAAACAAAACATTTTGGGCTACTTTCATGTGAAACCAGAAAATTCATAACTCAGTCAAAATCGATTCAAGCTACCTCAGAATATTAATATGTACTCTGTTTCATCTGCTCAATGTAGTTTTCTACCTTGAGGTGGTTAAAAGTATTCTAGGTGTTAATATAGGTTTCTGTACGTTTTTAAACTTTTTCGAAAAACGTATGTTGTCATTAGGTTCAGCAACTTTTGTTCTTGAGTTATTTAAGAAATCGTCAAATACCTTCTTTTTTTTACAGACAGTAGATGACCTTGATTCTTTCTTTTGTTTGATATAACAGTACAGATGAATAGAAGTCTTTGTAAATGTCGTCTGTTGAAGTTCTTTGCAGAGTTGCTGTATAGTGCAGTCATTGAGTCGTTCGAAAAAGGGAAACCAGTTTGGTCTCTAGGTGCAGAGCCTTAACTTAACCAGTAGTTAGATGAATGACCGCTAATAAAATCCTATGCTATACGTACACAAGACTGTTGATGAAAAACATTCCAGATAAAACATGTTAAGAGCTTGTGTACATAGCTTAAGGGCTAAAGTACTTATCTAGAATGTCAATATCTGTAAAAGTTTGACTGCTGAGCAAGGCGCATTTTTCCATCGATTAGTTCATCAAATCAATTTTTCGTGCTGATTACAAGTATCAGGTTTACTTGGATTACAAATGGCATCTCCGCGGTAAAAACTTAATTTTGTAATGCAAAATCTGACAATTTTACTTGTGATCAAAAATCTCTTTCGAATTTTCGACGATGATCTATATCTTTCCAACTGAAATTAAAGTGTTCGTCACATGCAGAAGTGTCAGAGCTACAAAACTAAAATTTTCCTCCATATAATCTGCTAGGTTAACTTATACGACAAAAACTGTGTTTCAAAAAATGAAAAAATATTAAGCACTCAATTTCTTCAACATGCCGTTCCAAGAATAGAAAAACAGCTGTCTGTACTCAGTTTTATGTGCTCTGTCAAATGACACATTGCTTGAAAAAGTGCATTTGAGCTGGCATCACTAAAATACCGAGAATGTCGCCTGTTCCCGAAGACAACTGTTGGAAAAACATTTTTTCTTATCAAGAGTTCCTTTGTCAGGAGCATGACTTCTGAAACTATAAGTCTGATGTCGGCCAAACTTCTATCAAATGCTAACTATGTCAAAGTACAGTGACGGAATTTATTTTTGGACTTCATCTATCACCGTTTGTGAGGTGTCACCACAACGGAAGCTAAAGTGGAGCTGTTCGTAGTTGCAAGACGTAATCATAACTTAAAGCTAACATTTATGGCTTGAGTTTACAAGAATTTGAGTTTCAAATTAATGTCTTTTTGGTTTTACCATTTAACAGAGCCAAAAATCCGAAAGATCTGATACAAGTTTTTCAAAAAGCTTTTTCTATCGTAAACCAGAGGTTCAACCTAGTGCTGTTCTACATTGTGGGGATAACTGTTAGCTCCAATCAAAGACCGATTCAAACTTTCCATTACTAAGTTTGAGAAAGAAATCCTAAAAATACGAAATCCTGTTTTAGTGTACGTTGCTTTCAGATACGTCGACGTGATTGTCTGTTGCAAGGCTTCTTGAAGAGCTCTCATACTAAAACACCAGAGAGAGACATTTTGTTCTGACTAGAAGCGCTTGGTATACATTCCAGATCATTGAAACTGTTGTTGGGTTAAATCTTTCATCGAGAAGAGTACAGTTTTCCAAGACTTTGGAAAACTTTTCAAAATATCTTCATAGCCTTACTTCTATTTAGAGCCAAGAATTTTGAAAGAATATATCTTTTTATTACAGTAGCAGTCATAATAAATTTTAAAAATAATTATTAAAAAAGTTTTCACCTAAAAATTATTATGACTGCTGCTGTAATAAAAAGATATAATCTTCATAGCCCTTTGATGAAGACGTAACAGCTGTGGATCTAGATAGTAGACGCAGTAGACTATCGATTGATAGGTTTAACTTAATAAGGATTCCGTATTTCTGATGGAGAAAATCTTGAGAAAGGAAACAGAAATTTTTGTAACACACTCATCTAACAAATATTTTGTGGTTATAGCTCGATGTAGAATATATCGAAACAAACAATGTATATCGTCAACAGCTATTCTTGGATATAAATAGCGTATGTTTCTTACTTCTCATATATTTTGTGAGCCTGAATTTATTTCCGCTTATAGACGAATCCACTTTGGTCGAGTAGTCTTAACGAAGGAATATTACGTATTAAATTACATACAGACACGGAGATTGTACAAGTTTATTTAACCGAAACGCCATCACGTACACTATTAAATATGGGAAATGAAATTAATATTAATATTGAACTGAAAAAAACGAAATTGAATAGTTATCATATAATTTTGACTGATAGTCATACAATTAATGATGTGCCTATTTTAATAATAAATCGAAATAAATTTCCAATTACATATTGTCAAAATCATAACAAGTACTTATGTTTTAAATTTTTTTTCCGCTTTTTCTATAAATTTTCTGTCTTTGACTAGTGAACTTCTAAAATGTCCACCAGAAAGTTATGTATATCATACGTCCAATTATTTGAATGAACTAGATCGTTATGTAAGTATAACACATAATAATCAATCGTATAAAATTGACAATCATAAAATACCCAATTTTTCTACTGACTATATTCAATTATTTGATCACGTTCATCGTATTGTTTATTTATTTGCAAATAAAAAATATTTGAATAACGTTTGGAAAGTAAGTTCCTTTTATTTAGAATTGAATTGTCTTATTTATAAGTTGTTATTTAGTTAGTATCATTAGCGTATAAATTTAACAATTGTGTTCAACTTAATATTGCTCATTTGGGTTTATCAATCGTAAATGATTTAAAATGCCAAGAAATTGCATATATAACCGTTCGTAATGCATATGTCACTTATGATTGGTCAAAAAAAGAAGATCGTCTGAAAGCAACAGTGAATCAGCTTCAGGTAGGATATCAAAACTTTTATGTTGAACGTGTTTTACAGTTCAAAGAATCATAGATTGACAACCACTGTGATAAAGCAAAATCGATAGTCATGTTTTTCCGTCAATCACATAGTTCACATGGTAAGAAACCACGAAAATTTATTCTAACATTAATGCTGTTCCATTAAAATACTTAGATAATAATCAACCATTCACTGAAATAAAAATTACTCGCATATTATCGAAATCTAATTCAAATGTTACCGTATTATCGTAAGCGTAGTAGTATAAAGTTTGTTGTGATTATTATTGTTACTGCTTCTTCTTTACAGGTGTTTTGATCTATCAATGATAGATACTATCTATCTACGTCTAGATCACCATGTTTTTGGAGAAGTTTGGTCATTTTGGCAAAAAGAAAAAGTATGTAAAAAAGAATTTTGTTATAATATAAGTGCTAGTTAAGAAATTTTTCATTGCATTTCGGATTTGATACGTTTAGTGTTTCTTGTTTCATTGTATAACTACTGTACTGCTAGCAAGCAATTACAGGTCATTGATCTCACAGATTCTCTTGCTGATACTTATTTCGGGATAAAAATTGAGATATCTGAGAAAATCTGTGTGAAAGACAATCACTGATTTTTTTCAATTTTCACATACAACAAAAAAGTTCATTAAAGTTTTTTTAATCCGTTATGTAAAAATACAAAAAACGCAGTAATTGTCTCTTAGATTTTCTCAAGGAGTCTCGATTTTTATCAAGAAACAAGAATTGACGAGAAAATCTGTGAGCTCAATAATCTATAATTCCATGCTTTTTTGAGAGTATCAAACTTCAAAAGATATCGAGTCAAGAGGTCTTTGGAAAACTTACTATGCGATAAGGTTAGTAGATGAAGATCTTGGACTTCCACATGTGAAGAGAGCACTCTGGTTTGAATTACATATCAGAATCAAAAATTCACTGTTTTTGCACGTCACAGTGCAATTTGCGCTGACATTGTACAGTTTCGTGAAAAAACCGTAAAAAATGAACTATCTTGTGAATCTCTTTTGACTTAGTAAGTTCTGATAGCCCAAGCGATGATAAAAAACAATTTTCCGACTGTCACTTTCATTTTTCTTAGAAAACGAGTTTTTACTACGAAAAGGATAATAGCTCCCGAGCCCATTGCGATAAAGACTACGTAAAATAACCCTGAAAAATTTTGTTCTAATATATCATTCGATAGATCTCGAAGAGATCCCTCTAATGATATGCGATTCAAGACGTTTCATTGCTAGTGAAGCTGTATTTATGCAAATTTCTGAAGAAATGCATCATCTAAGATTCTCCACCTTGGAAAAACAACTACTATGTGACAAGGCTACCACTCACACATAACTAGATTTGTATCGCTTAGCTCTATTGAATGGCTTACGATAAAGTTAAATTTAGTGTATTTTCATATGGACATGCTAGGTTTAATCTCACCGGACATTTTTCTAGTAAAATTCATTTTTCCTAGGAACGACAAAATGTTTTGAGCCGCAGCTTTGAGCATGTACTGTACATCGCAAAAGGAAAAACCAGTAAAAGAATCGCTGTGACAAGCGGAATATTAACGGAGATATTAGAAAAACAAAATTGAAAATCTTACGAGACATTTGTTGTGTAAAGCTTGTTTTCGAAATGTAATCGTTACCGTTTAGACCAAAGAGAGCATTAACCTTTTATTCTTATTTACCAAAATGATTCTTGATCTGTGGGCTATCTTCTGGCAATTTTTGATAAAGACTGCGTTTGATTTTAGCTGAGATATGCGAGATTCAATTTTCCGGGACAGGAAAGGTATCGATGTACAACTAGATCTAGTCGATATTGTTGAATCTTTTTCACTTCTTTTTAATAATATTCGTACATAACGGTTTCTGTTATAGAACGTTTACAATGATTAAAATTATTTTCGGCTAGTAGAATTCTTCAGGACTTCAATCAATGTGTATATAGAATGTAGTATTTTAACAATACACACTTGTCTTTTGTAGGAATCTGTGGAACCTATATATGATATGAAAACGGATTTACTGTTAATTAAACAAAAACAAATCCAAGCACTTAATACCGCTGCTGGACATCAATATCATATAGTTTCAATGCATTTATCTCAGATGAAAGTGGGTCTTTCAAACTGTCTATAAAGAACTGTGTAGAAATACAATGCTTAACTTATAAGTAGTGATTAACGGTTTTCTATATTGGTAGGTCTGTCTTTCCTTTCTGTCGGACAATCCACATTTATCGAGAGATATGAGATACTCATTGCGATTAACTGGTTATGTATCATGGATATTCAAATGGTTGGCAAACATTAGAATTAATATTAAAGATTTTAAATACGAGTTAGTAAAATCCATAAACTTTTGTTTTACTAACAAAAGTTTGTCATGTACATATTTATAACAGATTGGATGCTTATGAATCAAATAATTACAAAAGAACATTATGGGGGTTTCTAGCCGAAATACAGCAACATTACGGACAGGTAATTATCTATCTAGAAGTGTATTTCATGTTTCAGTAATTGTGGAATGTTTCGTCACTAAATCGAGTCCGTTAACAATGAAATTTGATTTATGTATTGTTTCAGCAACTGAAAGTACTTAAAGTAATCCAGAATGTCGCAAAATCACTATTTCAAGAGTAAGTAAATATAGTTAAATACCACTTTTTAATGTTGGGAAAAGGGTTAAGAAGGATTTTTTCTCCATGCTTCCACTTTGGAACCTTAAATCGGCCTTTGGAGCTGTCAAAACAGATAACTAGTCTATAGGCAATAGATTTATAGAGACTAAATGTGTATTGTCTATAATACAGATTAATCCTATAGATGTTCAAAACACCTTAGGTTTATATTTGGACTACAGTAATCCTTTTTTTCATGCTTTGGTACATTCCATGTCAGACTGAATCATGATGATTCTCATAGTTTTCGCTTCTTTTGACTTTCACTCACAAAAGCTACTTTGAAGTTTCTGATACTTTCAATCGTCACAGATATAGATCGTCATTTGTTTCTTTGGTTACAATGCCCTGCCTAAACTACGAAAGACTAAGAGATCGCTTAGCTCCGATTTCGGAGAGGACACTTTGGGCTATCTATCCGTGTAAAGAAGCTAATATATTGCTATGATAAATTTTCGTATTATGAAACGGTTTTCCAAAGATCGTCTGGAAAACCGGACTCCAAATTTTCTCAAAATTCGTCTGTGCTTATAAATATATAGGCTAAACTGCATTCTTTCGATTACTAAAAACCGCAAGTCTCTCGCAAGGTTTTACAGTGGAGGGTGGTTTTTGACCTTAGACTCTATAAAACTCCCGAACGGTAAGAGATAGAGAGATAAAAACCTATTGTGATCACACTTTTGAATGGCCAACATTTCTGGAATGTTTGGTCAAAATCGAAGATAATTTCTGGGGA